CCTCAGATCCGTAACATGATGCAGGAGCGACCATTCCGTCAGATGGTGTCTGGTGTGTTTCTCTGCAGCCACGGCAGAAACTGACCGCGTGTCTCTGCACCCCAGCTCGAACCCGGAGAGTCTGCAGCGAATGCTCCAGATGGCGTCGATGTTGAACGGGGGATGGGCGGTTGCCCCCGGGCGCAGGCTCGTTCCCCGCTCCCGGTATCCCAGGCTCGACGCCGTCCACGACCGCCAGCGCGCCCAGCGGGACTCCGGCTGCGCCTGGGATGGGCAACATGTTCGGCGGGATGCCGCCCATGGACCCAGGCATGATGGCGTTGTTGATGGGCGCTGGAGGCTCGCCCTCAGCGACGACAACCCCCGGCTGCGGGCACAGGTGCCCCCGCGCCAAATCTGGGTGCGATGTACCAGCAGATGTTCGGCGGCGCCCCCGCTGCCCCGGCTGACACACGGGCACCGGAGGAGAGGTTCCAGGTGCAGCTACAGGTGCCTTTACTGTCTATCTCAAAGCTGCCCATTCGGCTCACCACTTTGTTTTTTTGCCATGTAGCAATTGCAGGACATGGGATTCACCAACGGCGCGCAGAACGTGCGGGCTCTGCTCGCGAATGGCGGGAACGTGCATTCTGCCATCGAGTACATCCTTGGGGGCGGAGGTCTGCAGTAGATTTTACATAGGTGCATATATCCATTGTTTGTATGTGGCAAAAGTAATCATGTTGTACACCGAGTCTCCCTCGATGGAGTCTGAAGTGAAGAAATGCGTGTCTGTTTTGAGGGAAGAGTAGACAGCACGGCTTTCTCCGCACTTAATTTCCATCAAATGCATGGTGTGCTCCTCTCCTTGTGGCTTGTTCGTCTCGCTCAACGAGGTGATGGGGACAAAAGGAATGCTCTGAAGAAGGGAGAAGTCCTGTGTCCAAAAACAATCCGACTTGCCTGGTTCGAACAGGCGACCCTCAGATCACGAGTACTGAGCACCACGTGGATCGAAACGATTACAGTCTGATGCTCTTCCAACTGAGCTAAAGTCGGCATGTCAACGTTATGACATCTGCATACTGGACTGTCCGTGATGCTTGTCCTGCTAGAACGAATATTTGTTTCAGTCGTCTGTAAGCTTCTCGCAGCACTTGCGTATCTCGTCTGACTGTCCCTATTCTAGACGTGCACGTTTGGGAGAATTCTTGCCTTGGTAAGGATGGATGGGAAGTTGGAGGAAAGATGGGGCAATGTGCATGTTAGCCAGTGCAGCAGCGCATGTTGAAGCGCAACAGTATATATAGATAGTAATGATAATGCAGCTACATAAGTAGATTACAGCTGTATAACAGCGATCCTAGACATAGTCCGCCCTCCCAAAGCCGCTCAAGCCCTCCGACCGGCTTGCGTTTCCCCCGTCCCACACCCATGCCGACCCGCACAAGCGTCTCCAGCGACGCACGCCCATTGACCAACAGATCCTCATCCCACTCGACAGCATCTTTCTCGAACAACAGCACGATCGTCGAGCCCCCAAATGCAAAGTACCCGAACTCCTGTCCCCGTTTGACCGCCTCGCCCTCTTGCACGGTCGTGAGGATGCTCCCGACCATCATGGCTCCCACACAGACGGCCATAACGCGCCCGAATTGCGGGCTGTCAATCGGCACGATCTTGCGCGCATTCTCTCCATACACGTCCAGCGCTGTCCGGATCGCTTGTGGCTGGAAAAGGCAACAGCATCGTCAGTGCATGATTTCGTACGGTCAAGAGTGGGGATCGCACGTTGACAGTGTAGTACTCCCCGGCGATAGTAGTCATCTTGCCGATGGTCCCGTCGACAGGCGAGTGGAAACGATGATAGTCCTGCGGCGCAAGACGGAAGATGGCCAGAGCGCCCCCCGCGTATCGGTCGACCTCGTTCGAGTACGTTTCGCCCAGTAATCGACCGACGGTAAACTCGCGGCCCTTGATCCACAATCGCGTGGCTTCCGAGACGGTCTCAAACGCCATCATGCGGCAGTCTGCAGAACTGACCAGTCGGTACGGGTCGTCAGGCTCGGCGACTGGTCTCGCAGTCGGCTTCAGTTTCCTGGGCAGTGCAATCATCGACGCTCTGCATCCAACACCGAAGCTTTCTCACCGATAGAAGAACTGATTGAATGTCTCTGCATAATCAATGAGAAATAAACCCAGCGACCATCAGTCGCCCACGCACTGAATGAATCCAACGGCTCGAGAATCTCGTCGACTTTGAGCTTGTGGAATTCAATGAACACCGGGATGTCGCGAGCCGACTCGGGAGAGTCGTATTTGAGGCCCTGCTTGACCGTCATGGACCGGAGAAGTCGACGAGCTGGGTGGGTTGATAAAACGACGAACCCAAGAGAGGCAAAGCAACATACCACGGCCGCCCTCCATCCGACTATTCATGCCCTTGTAAAGCAGACGGATCCCGAGCCTGACGTAAACTTGCATCTTCTCCTCTTCCAGCTGTCCCGTGAGCCGGTTCTGCACGATGATGTTCGCCGAGTTCTATGCCCGCAAACGTCAGTATATACACATCGCACAAGAGAAGAGACTTGCAGCGCCTAGACGATAGTCACCACTCGATAACTTCCCAAAGATCTTTCTGAGCCACTTGCGCTGCGCCTGACTCGCCGTGACGTAGTTGCCCACCATGATGCGGCTCACACTGCTCCAATCCTGGCTGGCGCACACCGCAATGTGCGTGATGATGTCCACCTCCGCTTTGTCGCTCATCCGCGGCCGATGGCAGATCGGGCAGTTCTTCACGTTGATCACGCGCTCGAACGAGTCCTCGCTGCCCGCTGGCGAGCCTGCAGCGGGCGACTGCGACAAAACGGCCGAGTCTTTCACTTTTTTCACTCTCGGACGTCGGAACCGGGGCTTCTTTGAAGACAGTGTCGCTAGCTGTTGTTGCTGTTGCTGTTGTTGTTGCTGCTGCTGCTGCTGAGAAGCAGGCGACGAAGTAACAGAAACCAGTTGCGGACTGGGCGAATCAGATTCCAGGTCCCCATCCGAAGACGAGTCGGACGTAGTTTGCCGCGAGTGATCAGGCCGCTGAAGCACCATCTCGGACGGCTCGGTGACGAATCCCTGCGGTTCTCCAGTGACGAAATCGATATCCAAAGCAGGTCCCGCAAAGTCGAGTTCCCCGAGCTGCATTTCTCCGCCAGAAGGCGAGGAACCAGCGCTCGTGACCACGCCAGCGACTTGGCCCTCGTCATCCACACGCCGGCGCTCGCTCTCCGGCCGCAGGACCTCGCTTTCGAGACAGCGGATCGCCTGCTCCACGCTCAACTCGTCCCGCACCGGGTCTTTGCCAAACCGGGTGAAGAACGAATCAACGGTGTCGCTGCTGAGCGTCGAGCCCAGCGAGTCGAGCATACTCGCCAACTCCACATGCGACACGGTGCCCGTCTCGTCGGCGTCATACTGCTTCAGGTACTGCCGCCAGAAGCGCTGGCGCAGGAGTGAGTACGGCTGGTACTTGGCGCGGAACGTGATGGCCGGGCTGTGCTTGCTCTCCCATTGCACGCCCCCGGCACCGATCTCGAGCTTCATAGTAAACTCTTTCATGGAATGGTCCCCTGTCTCATCACTGTATACCGGAATATGCCCCGATTTGGAATCGGAAGGATCCGCCGGAAGCGGCTGCGGTGCGTTGGCTACGAGCTCGCCGACTTTCAGGCCCACTTCACCGACGTAGTCGTTCGAAGTCAATTTATCCCAGTCGAGTACCGTTAGTCGGACCTGGGCGAGAGTCAGTACATGCCATCTCTCTGAGCACGGACGCGCGCATGCGCACCTCATAGCCGATCTCATATCGCCGGACGTGGAACAGCAGCTTCTCGTCCCAGACCGGATTCAAGGAGTGTCGGATAACTCGGGTCCGGAACACCTTTTTCCCAAACGAAATCACAACAAACGGATCCATGTCAAAAGAAGTGCGCGTCACTGCAAAAGGAATCAACTGTACGGCCAGGCCTAACGTCAGCAGAAACGCACTGTTCTTCAGCCGGGGCAGATCTTCCGCTTTGACAATCTCCAACATCACAATCCCCACAATATCACTCGGGGACTCGGACGGGGCGACTTCCGTGCCGAGAGAATATGCCCGCTCGGGCTTCGGCCGCCTCCGTCCCATTTTCCCTGGCTCTGCATCCCCAACAGCCTCCTTCTCCTTGCCCTTGCTTTTCGCAGGAGCCGCGTCTTCTCCCGGCGTCGCAAGAGCTCCGGTCCCGCTCCAACTTTTCCGAAATCCTCGCTTCTCCTTGCCTGTAGCAGTAATCGGCGTAGTGAAGCCATCCGGCGTATTCGGCGTCGTCGGTCGAGACCGCGACTTGCCCGGTAGGAATTTGCGAGGTATAGGAATGGGAATGAACTTGGGTCGGCCCTTCTTCTCTGGCGCGATCTCAGCGGAGGGTGAAGCGGCAATGACGGCGGATATCGACGCAGGGACCCCAGCAGAAGACGGTGTCGGAGTGGTCAGTGGACTGGGGCCTGTAGGTGTCTTTCCTCCGGCGGATGTGCCCATATCCGACGCAGGCGATCCCGGGATGACATTGAGAGAAGGCAGCGCCGGGAGCTTGGTAGTCACAGTCGGTGTTGCCTCCATAGTCGGAGGAACGTAGAGTGACTGCAGTTTGGATCCTGAGGGGGAAACATCCGTACTGATAGCAGGAGAGCTCGAACTAGAAGAGATGAGGGGAGACTCGCGTTCTGTACGGCGTCAAACACAAAGACAGCCGTAGATGTGTATGCCACGCACCATCTTCGTCTCCAGACTCGAGATCGGACAGTCCGTCCTCGTCGTCAGACGATATTTCGGACGCGGAGGATATCCCGCCGTCGTCCTCAAATTCAACGGCAGTCATATGCGAGCGCATGGTGCCCACTCCCTCAGTCTGCGGATGAAAACAAGTCAGCCGAAATACGATCATGAACAGACTGAATGTTAGTCTCCAGCCGCGGCCAAAACCGCGCAGGGACAAAACGAGGAAGGAGCGGCACGCACCGGGGGAGCCGAAACGAGCGACGAGCGCCGATTCTTGACTAGAATCCGGTACAGCGCATCGAAATCGACCGCGGCCTGATTCGGCGCCCCTGCCGTCGGAGGAGGAGGCGAGACGAAGCCCAGGCGGATCTGCAGCGAGCCCTGCGACGGCGTGCCTGGCCGGGTCGAGAGCACCGGGACTGTGAAGAGCTGGGGAGGACGCGCGTCAGAGGGCCGGTTTGCCGGTCGACGCCGCGGCGAAGGGGACAGGTGGACGCACCACATTGCCCGGTGCATCCCACGCTTTAGGGCGGTCCGCGAACCAGTCCTCGACCCCGAGATCGACTTCCCCGAGGTACTCCTTCTTGAACGAGTCCTTGTCCCACACGACGAGCTCGACGACCCCGAGCCGGTCCGCCACACTGAGATGGATGGGGAAGTCCCATGTCGCGTCCTTGGGCGCGTACACCGGGTTGAGCGTCTTTTTCGCGACCGGAGTTTGGTGCCGCGTGCGCGCGAGGGAGGCGACGACGAAGCTGGCGCTGGGGATGAGTCTGGGAGCACGAGTGCGTAGTGTGACAGGGAAATGACGCACGGATCGCTCAGCCCGTTGCGGTCTTTCGCAACGAGGCCCTGCCCACCGAGGACCTGGATGCGGAGGTAGACTATGGGCTGCTCCCCCGCCCTCGGGGCAAGGGTGTTGCGGCGGATGGCAGGTGTGCCACCGAAACCCAATTTGAGTGCTCGTCGCAGACGCGGATGCTTCTTCGCCGCCGGTGTCGACATCTGGTATCTCTAGTTCCAGTACAGTGGACGAAAGGAAGCAATGAAGAGGGGAGAGCAAGAAAGGAGAGGAGGGCAATGAAAGACCAGGAGGTCGGGTCGATGATGTATGAAGGTGGAAATGTCTCTGAAGTGTTCTGATGATCGTGGCGATGATACACAGCCACATAAATGGAACATCCCGCATGATGTCGCACACACCGACTAATGCGCCGGTGCAAGATGGGTGTACAGAGAAGGCTATGCTAAATTGTCAGAGCTAATCACAACCTGGACTCATCTCCCGCATGGAGATCTCCAGGCGCATCGCTGTGATCTACTAGATTGTCTTCTGGCTCCTGCGAGCTCAGGACCCAAGAATGCTCGAGCCTGTTTCAAACGAATCTGGTGCGGTTTCCATCCCGACATCTCCGCTTGCGAGGCTGAGTTTCGCCGCTGCATCAAAGATTGTAGATTCTTAGTCGGGCAGATGATCTATCGGACACGTGATCGCGTCATAATGAATTTCTCAACCGGCCACTAACTTAGCAGGAAGTGCAGGACCGTCCGTACCTGATCGCCGAGCGCTGGGCTTTCCGGTGCGGCGCGGCTGCCGCAGTCGGTTTCATGCGGCGCACTTCAATTGGCACCACAAATGTGACCCACTCTTGCCGGTCATGCACGACATCTGCTCCCGGGCCAGTCCTAGTCTGAGATGCATCTCCTGCTCCATCGGGAGGGTCAAACTCCCTCTCTAGCGCCTTCAATTGCGAAGCCTTCGGGCGCGGTTCGGGCAAATGAGCCCCAACTGCCAATTTGGAAGTAACCAATGGACGCCGCGAGTCTTCTTTGGAACCCCTCTAGCCACTCTAGCCACCCTGCGCATTTTTCTGCTCGACGAGTCTGAATCTCGACTCTCACTGCTCCAGAATGCGCATCCTGCCATGCCTCCTCCTTGCTGCGCTCGTGAGCGCCCAGACGCCGCCGCAAGTTTTTTCTCTGGCGTAAGCTGAAATTTCAGGTCGCTGGCTGATGAACCGACCAGGTACATCGGGACGCTCCTCATCCAACCGGGGCTCGACGGCAGTGCGTACCCTCTCACAGTTTCTGGAGAGATCGAACATTCTCATACGCACAGCGCTCTGCATCACGGCTTCTTCAAACAATACCGTGTCGACGAAAAGCTGCACCGGCAGCGACTCGCAAAAATGGACATTTGTGAACGGCAGCATCCAGATTTTCAATGGGACCCAGTGCCTGGCTGTTGCGTCGGATAACACGCAATTGCAACTACAGCCATGCGCAGGAAGAGGGGCAGCGAGCCAGCAATTCTGGTACACTGTGCGCGCGCGATCTATACCCGAGTCCCTCGCCCCTTGCTTATTCGGTTGCAGTACGACAACCACATCGCCTGGACCAACCGCGGGCGATGCCTCCATCTCAGTGTAACTGACATTTGCCCAGTCTCGAGAATGCACACTGAATCCAGGCTCAGCCCCAGCTTGGGATGGGAGTCTGCGATGGCACTGATGCGCACCAGACGTGGAACGTCGGGTACCCCGCCAATGCCCTGCCCACGACCTCGGAACACGGCCAGAGCGGGACCAACGCCTGCGGGACCGCTGCCAGCCCGGACTCGGCTTGTCAGACTGTTTGGATCAAGTGCGTTTCATCTCTCCCAATGGCAGACTGCGCAACCACGTTCAACGCATCCTACCCAGTTCGGCGGACGATTTTTGTCTGTGGGCCCCACCGTCTGTAGGCACGATCGGGGACACGGAGCGGGACGAGGTGGCGTGGTGCACGATGCCGGGCCACGGCGCGCGGCTAGTCCCGCCCGGGACCTTCCACGGCGTGCACTTTGTGAAGACGGCGGACTACGTGCAGGTGACTGGCGTCGGCAACTTTACGAGCATCAACGTCCCCAGGCACGACCAGTGAGTGGCCATTTCCAGTGCAGTATGTGTAAAAATGATGGTGGCGCAAGAGGTGGCGAACTGGGTGCGTTAACCGCGTGATAAAAGTCGAAGCAGACAGCTCAATCGCAGACCAGATCCCCACGGCGCCGACGGCAATGGCAACCCAAGTGAGTGATCTGCGCGGTTGATGATACCACTCCTCCCATCTGCAGTCGGGGGCCTCGTTTTCGGCAACAGCTTCAGCCCTGGCCTGCAATACCACGAATGGACCTCGTTCATCTCCGACACCGAGTTCTGCTTCCGCGCCTGCATCGGCCCCAACGCAGCCAGAAACTGCCAGCACATTTACGACCTGATGGGCTGCTACTGGGTCCGTGCGCAGTCCGCTCGAACCCCGGCATGCTGACCCGGCTCCTTGTCAGAATATGCCTGCAAACTACGACGCCGGGTCATTTGACAACTGCGAAGCCGACGACGAGTGCGTTTCGTGGTTTACTTGCCGTGCGTTCGGCTGACCAGCGGCCAGTCTGCCCATGGGGGTCTACGGCACATCCACCTGGTACCAAGGAATCAAGCCCACTCCACCGCCTCATCCCGTCGCCAGCAGCTCCCGCTGCGTCCCCGTGCCGAGTCCCACGTGATCGCATTGTAGATACATATTTGCAGCGAGAGAGAGAGTGAGTATGTAAGCAGTACGGGTAAGCACTAGTAGTGGTGTTCCATTCCAACCAAGATATTATGGCACGAGCCGGTATAAATCCACCCACTGAAATGAACAAATGAAATATACGTCGAGAGATGGGGAGGGGGGTCGTAAGTCGTAAAAAAGTCGTAAAACATGAAATGAAGCAAACAGACACAGATCACATGACAACACACCACTTGCCCTTTTTCTCGTGGTCGGACTCCGTAACCGGAGATGCCGCCGGGGAACCGTCGGCAGTCGCAGGTGGACTCTGCTTGGCGGGCACAAACTCGCCCTTGGCCTGTTCCAGGGAGGCTCGGCCTTCCGGCAGCTTCGAGAACCAGCCGCCCGGGAAAAACAGCGACGAGGCGGTGGATTCGAGCCGCGATCGGGGGGACAACGGAGGAGCGTCCAGCAATTGGCCGGCATCTTCATCGTCCTCTTCCTCGTCCTCTCGCCTAGCAACAGATAAGCACTTGAATAATGAAACAAAATCTCGCAAAACCCACTTGGTCACATCCACCATCAGTGGGAACGCCGGCTTCTGCGACTCGACTGGCAGGGGGATCGTCGAAGCCACCGGCGTCGTTTCTTCCTCTTTTGGAGCAGCGGCGATCTCGACTGCACCGGCAGTGGCAACGGCGACAGCCGCAGCAAGAGTGGTCTTGAGGGCACCGGACAATGAAGGCTCATCAGCCGTCTCCTCGACATTGCCGGTCTCAGCTTTCGGAGCCTCTTCTGCGGCGGTAGCCTCGACTTGGGGAGTCTCGGCTTCAATAGCCTCAGATTTCGGGGCGTCGGCCTCAGCTTCAACGGGAACCGAGGCCTCCTCAACTACAGCTGTTTCCTCGATCGATGGCTCAGTAGTAGCAGTAGCTTCGGGCTCGACCTCAGCAACATCATCCACCGACTCAGCTTCAACGGAGGCCTCCTCAACGACGGGCTCAGTAACCGCGACGACATCAGCACTTTCCTCCACAACTGGCGCAGAATCGACTGTGACCTCTTCAACCACTTCGGACTCGGTGGCAGGAATCGACTCTGAGATGTCCGCGGTAGGAGCGACTACGGTTTCGTCGACGATGGGCTCTGGGATAGCAGGTTCGTCGGCGATGACAGGCGCAGCTTCTTCGGCAACGATTGGTGAGGCTTCTTCGATAACTGCTGGTGAAACCTCCGCTTCAACGACTGGTACGACCTCTTCGACGACAGGGGCAGATTCCTCGATGAAGGGCTCCACGGGAGCAGATTCCTCGAAGACAGGCGCAGCTTCCTCAATGACGATTGGCGCGGCTTCTTCGACAACTGGAGGCGAAACCTCCTCGGCGTCAACCACTGGCACAACCTCTTCAACCACAGGTTCAACCTCGACGGGAGCAGTTTCTTCAACGACAGGAGCAGCTTCTTCAACGACGGGAGCAGCTTCCTCGAAGATAGGTGCAGCTTCCTCGACAGGTTCAGCAATCGCTGCAGTAGGAGCAGATTCTTCGGCAACTAGCGTGGCTTCCTCGACAGCAGGCTCGGCCTCGACAACTTCAACAACGGGGACTTCTTCATCGACGGCAGCGGGTTCCTCGACGACAGTAGCTTCCTCGACCGCAGGCGTGACTTCTTCGACCGTAGGCTCAACCTCGACGACTTCCTCGACGATAGGCACAACTTCTTCGACGACAGGAGCAGATTCTTCAGCAACAGGCGCAACTGGCTCCGTCACAGGCTCAACCTCGTCAACCACGGACGCAGTCTCTTCGACGGCGGGAGCGAGTTCTGTTGCTGGCTCAACTGCCTCGGCAACAGGCTCGGCTTCCTCGACCTCATGTTGAGCGACAGGCTCCGCTGCAACAACGACAACCTCTTCTGCCTCCGGAACGGCTGCTTCGACCTCAGGAACTGCGACGACAGTCTCTGTGGCAGGGGTTTCCTCGGACACGACCGTGGCAACAACGTCCTCAGGGGCCGCAACTTCAGCATCGGTCTCGATCGACTCGGATTGCACTGCGGAAACCGCAGGCTCCGCAATGGTCATCTCGACCTCTTCGGCTTCGATTGCAGGTTCAGCTTCGACGACCTCAACCTCGATAGGCACTTCGGATACAGTCTCTTCGGCGACGATCTCCTCAATGACAGCCTCTGGAACAGCTGCAAATTCCTCATCTTCGGCAGCGGGATCTGCCTCTTCGACGACGGGGGCAGAATCGACGATGTCTCCTGCAGGCTCGACAACGAGTTCTTCGATGGCCGGCACAGTTTTTTCAACCTCGGCAACGGCAACGGGTTCCTCAGTCGCGGGTGGAATGGCCTCGACGGCAGCGAGGTCAGGAACAACTTCCTCGACTGGTTGCGCAAGCTCAGAAGTGGGCTCGACAATGGGCTCGGCCACTGCCTCCTCGACAGTCAGTTCGGATTCATCAACCGCAGGTGCTGTTTCTTCGACAATGGGCACCGGTTCTTCGGCAACAGGTACTGTTTCCTCAACAACAGGCACCGTTTCTTCAACGACAGGCGTGATGTCTTCAACGGCTGGAATGACAGTATCTTCGACCACGGGAGGGGCCTCTTCAATCGCCGGCGCAGTCTCTGCAATGACTGTCACAGTCTCTTCAACAGTTGGCGCGGCCTCTTCATCAACCAGTGTGGCTTGTTCAAAGACGGGAACGGCGTCTTCAACGATAGTAGGCTCGTCAGCGGTGACAACCGCGACTTGTTCTAGGATGGGAGCCGCCTCCTCCGCAGATGGCGCCTCAGTGTCCGGTTCAACAACAGCCTCTTCAACCTCGATGGTGGTTTGCTCAACGACTGGCTCGGCAATCGTCTCCTCGACCGTAGTTTCATCGGCGACAGGCTCAGCTTCCTCGATGGCAGGAGCCGTTACTTCAGACTCGGTGGGGACTTCTTCAGCCTCAAGGACAGGAGCCTCAACCTCCTTCTCGATAACTGGAGCATCCTCAGCCCCAGCAGCTTCTGTAATTGACTTATCAATATGACGATACGAACCAAGTGCAGCTTACCTGGCTGGGCGACGAATTCAACGGGATCCTCCACTGTAGGCTCCGTAGCAGCGACAACATCATCAGTCAACTCCTCCGGAACAGCCGAAATCTCAGCAACAGCAGCGATCGCAGCAACCTCAAGGGCCTCGGGAACAGACGAATCCTCTTCTGCACCAAGTTCGGTTTCGACAGCTGCAGCTGCAGTTTCTTCTACTGGCACAGCTTCAGAGTCGACCTCCGCCATCTCGGGCTGCGGACTGCCTTGTCGCGAGACGGAATACGACACAGGCCAAGGAGAACTCGCACGCGGAGGTTCCTGTTCTTCAAAGACTGCTTGAGGCTCTTCAACGACTTCCGAAATCTCCACCACTGGCTGTCGGGATATAAGTGGAACGTATATAGCTCGGTGAAGAAAGAACACTAGCCTGTGACTCGAAGACCGGCGGTTGCTGTTCAACTGCTTCCTCCTCCTCCTCTTCCGCAGGGAGCTCCTCAGTCTCGTTGGGACCTTGTGTGATGACAGAATACGACGGTGTCCAAGGACGCGGAATCTCTGCGGCAGGAACAAGGCCTTCTTCCTCCGCTGCTTCCTCCTCTTCAACCACCGCCGGAACTTCCACAGTCTCATCCTGTTCCCAGTTATAAGCACATCCGATCACGCCCAACTCCTTTACGCTCACCTCGTCGTGGTCCTTGATGAATGTCCCGAGCTCGACTTGGACCGGCGGCTCTTCGGCTACCACTCCAGACTCGATCAGCGCATCCACTACGCCTTGGTCCATGGACTCGTCCTCGACGTCTGATTCGGCGAGCGTAGCAGGATCAACGAGCAACGGCGTTTCTGCAACAGTCTCGGGAACGGATTCCTCAACAGCCTCAATTACGGGTTCCTCGACGACCTCGACGGCTGCTTCCTCTACGGCTTCAGTGACCGGTTCCTCGGCTGCCACAACATCAGCGGTCTCAGCAAGAACGGGCGCCTCGGCCGGGTCCTCAGCTGCAGCTACGTCCAACTCGGACTGGACATCGGCCTCCTCGCGCACAGCATCGTCACTCTCAAGTTCAAGGGGAGGTGCGGCTGGGCTTCCCTGCACGACAACAGAGTAAGACGGAGTCCAGGGTGACTTGGGGCGAGGCTCTTCGGAAGCCGTAACAGAACTCTATGAGGTTTTCGTGAGCCACGGCGTAAGAACACACCGCGAGTGATAGCACACCTCGGCATCGCCGGTCTCAGGCTCTGGCTCGACAATAGTGACAGGTGCGACTGCTTCAGCCAAAGACTCGTCGGTGGCTTCTTGGGTGATGGAATCTTCAGCAGTAGGTTCCTCGACGGTAGGTTCATCGCCGGGGAGTTCAACGGAATCTGATCCTTGCACGACGACAGAATAGGACGGTGTCCATGGACGAGATTGTGGGGCAACGTCCTACACAGACATTCCAGCTCAAATCACCAACCGAAAAATGAAACGCACCTCCTGGACGTCAGTAGCCGCAGCAGGCTCTGATTCCGAGACGGTGACCGACACCGGAGGGGGCAGTTCTTCCAATTCGGCAATCTCTTCTGCTTCTGCTTGTTCTTCTTCAGCAGTCGTGACGCCAGGGCCTTGGGTCGTGACGCTGTACGAGGGAGTCCACGGGGACTTGGGACGCTCAATTTCCGCGGACTGGTCGGCAGCCAGATTCGACGAGTCCTGGGGGAGACTCAGTAGTGCACAATCACACACCAGTCGACGGTTTAGTCTACCTCTGCTTCTGAGATGACTTGTTCAGTCGGCGTCTCAGTAACTGGTTCGACTTCGATAGTAGGCGCAATGGCCTGTTCCTCGTCGGCAGCCATACTGGAGTCCTTCTCCCCCTCCGCCGTGGCCGGTTCGACGGGGATGTCTTCAGCCGCATCAGCGGCCAGGACTTCCTGAATCGGAGCCTCGACCTCAGCGCTAGCTTCGGGGGAAGCCGGGATCGCGGCTTCCACTCCGACCGACGCGTCAGTTGATGCGAGCGACGCGTCAGACACTGGAGCGGCTTCTTCGGCGGCGGGTATGACGTCGGGAACGACGAGCTGGTTTGGCAGTAAGCACTTAGAAAGAAGAACAGCGAAAACGTCACGAAGTACCTCATCAGTCGTCTCGAGAGGTTGCTCAATAGGTATCTCGACAGGTTTCTCAGCCTCCGTGAGCACCGGTTCGGTAATCTGATAGAGGTTTCGGTATACGTGAGAGGCCCTGAACGAGCGATCGACACACCTCCAAAGCCGGCTCCTCCGACACGGTTTCCTTTGGTGATTCGTCAACATCCTTGACAAACGGTGGCTCAACAGCCTGTGCCATGAAAGAAACAATAGATGAGTATTGAGCACGTTCACGAGCAATAGGTCGTACGACCCACCTCCGCCACTTTGTCAGCGCTCTGCTCGACAGCGCCGTTCACGCCCGACGCGTCTTCTGTCGCCTCGTCTGAGTTCCCCTCCTCCGCCTCCGAGTGTGCTACAACACCATTCTCCGTAGGCTTGGGCTTGGTAATAGTGAATAAGTTATCCTCTGGGGCCGCGATATCCGCGACGCTAATAGTCTCTGTCTCCATCTTTGTCTCGTCAAGAAGGGTGTCTGCCTCTGGGACGGGCGCAGACATGGGGGTGGCGCGTTCTCTATCTGCAGGATGGAGGGAGAAGCGGTCAGTCAGATGTTCCGTGTCGCCACGGCAGGAATGATGATGATAACGCACAAGCTCAACTTTCGCAGGGCCACGAGGCGGTCTAAACCCAACCGAAGAAAAAAAGGGCCGGACTGGGCCGGCCGATGCGATCCGGAAGAGTTCTCTCACGTGATCGTGCTGGGAAGCGATGTCGATGCACCGCCACATACTGTCTGCGTGTCATTTATGAAGACGTAAACTATTTCTGTGCGGGCCGTGCGGCTGCTATGCGAGGTCACTGCGATTGTTTGCGCGTTTCATACGGATTAGTCAAGAGTCCTTCTACAGTGATGAGAAATCATCTATTATAAGCCGATCCAGCTACTCCGCCCCCCGGGATTATGCAAGCTCGTATGCCCGATTTTGATCAGTCGAGTGCCCGCTTCCGACCGTCTCGGATCCAGTGCAAAGATGTCAGCCGGCATCGGCATGGCATCAACAAGTGGGCTGGGTATGTTTCTTGGTGACGAGAAAAACGCGCCGTTGCCGAGGGCGGGGGATCTCGGGGGCATCTCCGTCTCGGGCGACGGCGGAGCATTCACGTTCAAGAAGTTTTCAGCGTGCCATTCATACCAGACTTGGCGCTGGTTGGTCAGTCTCCAGATATTCACCTGGAGCTCAGAGTTACTTGGAAGATACAGCGGTTCCTGGTAATCGCTCAGTATGGGACGGGAGAGATCCGGGGAATAGGTACTTTGAACGGGAAGAAGAGTGGGAACCAGCTGAGCATGTCTTTGGAGATCCGGTCCTTCCGTTGAGGGTGAATGCTCAGCCCGATATTGCCGTACAACACGGCCTCAAAGTAACCCGCCAAACCACTGGATGCAACTCAGGTATGTGCCCTGCCGAGAGAGAACTGCGAACGCACTGCAAAACACCTGCATGTGGAATGAAGAAGTTGAGCTTTGCGGAGCGAACATTGTGACTGTTCGTAAGAGGAAGTCCGCGCTCATCCAAAACTGCGTCCGGCCGAGGATGCTCAAATTCCCAGCATTCTTGGATCGATGGCCCACAGCGGCCCTGTGTGCATTCGCCGTCTCCACTGAGCAGATTCACTGCCTGGAACATGACCACGTATGGTGTCTCGAGTCCCTTTTCGTCTTTCCTCCCACGAGCCTCGTTGTAGAGCTTGGAAGACGAAAGAGGCGCCAGATGGGCCGTGTACGATGAAGGAATTGAAATGCCATCGTCTGCCGCAGAATCAGCAACAGGACATGAGCCTATGACAACTTTGACCTGCCCTTCAAAAAGCGCATCGCTCCATCCAAGCACTCAGGGCTCAGTTCATTGTCGCCGAAAGATCCAAGCAGCTCGCTGACTAGGATATCTGCCTTCTCCACAGGTTCGGTGGAGCGCATATCCCCGAAAATCAACGTCACTTTATCCTCCCACTCGGTTTCCTTTCTGGTCTGCAACCTAAATTATTTGTTTTAAGCAAGAAAAAGATTATAATGCTTGACGCGCTCACGTGACAAACGCGCTGGGATTTTTCTCGACCGCATAGACATGAGCATCTTTTGCGGCACGCTCAATGGCGTTCAGACACCTAGAAACAATGGGACCACGACCAGCGCCCGCGACACAGATCACGCTACACGAGATTGTAAATTCAAGCCACAACAACTGCGGCGCGCTTACATCCTTCCATTCCCGGGCCAATCAAGCAAAGCGTGGAAGACCGCCTACGAGACATGAGGTGCACTCTCAGGAAGAAGTCGAACCAATGCACCTCTTCGTAGTTGTGATATTTGACAGGATCCTGCTCGAATGTCTGGTAAGTGACGCTCTGCAGATTGTCCATGAGCGGCTAGAGACAGTCATCAGATCAATTTGCGGACCGATGTCCGGCCTGAACACTCGCCTGCAAGGGTGCTTGTAGATAGTCTTGGTAGCCCAGAGCAAAGTTCTCAACGGTACCCGACGTTTTCTCCGCAAGGACCGATGGACTCGTCTTCTCCAGATGTCGCAGGTACTGTGAATAAGCAGCTTCTCCGCCGAGACTGTGAAGACCCAGATTTGCGCCAGCCAGGATAATATTTGGGTGATGCTAAGTTCTGATCCTCGTCAGGCTCTGCCATAGTTGACGCGAATTGACGGCTCGCCGTTATGCTGTCCCGGATGAACGACTGCGTTCCCTTGGGAAGAACAGGATAGCCTTTAGTGTTGGCAATAAAAGTAGATGCCGGCAAGAACAGGTGCCGCACTGCCTCAGCTTTCCATTTCGAGAGAAATCCGGAGTTGACCGGCAGTGGAGGTGTCAAGTCGAGTGCTGTGGACAGCTCAGCTCCAAGAAGAGTCCAGGCATGCAACTCACTGAGACTGAGTCGTGTGTTGTAGTCACACATAGACCGGATCACATCCCACATTTCCCATGTGCCATCCAAATTTGCAGAAGTCGTCTCAGCGCCCCTGTCGTCAGACACAACCAATCGGGGCGTCGGCGGAGAGGCAACCATGCTTGATGGTGATTGGCCACCGGGAGGGACCCGCGATTCGAGGACAGAAGGATTGTAGATGGGAAGCCGGATCGAGATGTGCATATACGGCGATGCTTTCAAGCATGCATTGACGACACGAGCGTAGGAAGCGAGGTGCTCTCTACTACGAGGTGGCGGCAGGATCGCAGTGTGGATATTGAGATAAGTCGCGTAAGATAATTCTTGTTGCAGAGCCTGAAAAACGATGTGTGATCGAACCTTTCACAAGAAAAGGACATACAATCTCGGCATCATGGCGGACCCAGTCATCGTTAGAATCGAGTTCGAGCCATTCCGACACAAGAGCAATGACACCTTCGGCCTCATCTACCATCCATCTAGACAGACGACCATATTCCGAGTGCAGCACAACACACCTAATTGAGTTAACGTGACCTCATTAAGCAAAAATCCAGGTCGAGCCCTCCAAGCCTCTGCTCGCTTCTCGGCTGCGATGCCGGCAGCTTCTTCCATTCCCTCAGGAAGTAAGCACATATTCATCCATCGCTTCTTCCAGCTTTCGGTGGTGAGAGGTAGGCAGAGGCCATCATATCCTTTCGCACGCGACTGGGACGAGAGAGCGAGAATCGGTGTGGGGGCATCGGGTGTAGGCGGAGCTCGAGATGCTTTAGAGATATCTTCGTGCGTCACGAGTGCAGTGAGGCCTGCACGATCCCAAGACAAAGACATGGCAGGTCACCGGTGGTTAATCGCGAGATGGAGGGATCGCAACTGCACCCAGAACGTGATGAGATCATGGCATCATGATCATGGCGGCACGCGCAGCCAAATATCACGTAGACAAATAACAGAACGCGTCGAAGAATGAGCGAACTTGACGGCATCGATGATCGAGAGCTGCTTTATTTTATTGCGGTTTATCATGAGTGCATATTATGTGTCGATGTCAAAGCTATTACGGTCTCCCAATACCACGCAGATTTACGAACAACGCCGCCTATGTATGCATAGCGTATGTAAACGCCGAGATGGTGATGCATGGCAACCTTCTTTCGATTGCGATCGCCACGCGATCACAGCCAAAATGGAATGCATGCTAGTAACGTAGGCACACACATACATCAAAGACATCTCAACCCAGATCTTACCCTGGACCATCGTCCGTTCGGGGTCTTTTGTTCGGAGACGATTCTCTATCGTTCTCTTCTGAAGGCTCCGACATGGAGTAGCCTTCCAACATCCCTTCCAAGACCGTCTGGCCAACGACGCGCCTGAGTTCTTCGTCGGGATCTGTTCCTTCTCTCTCAGCTCGTCGCATGATTTCATCAACAGAGCTCATTAGAGCAGAGGCAAGTCGATCTGAGGTCATTTCTTGCTCCTGCTGCGAAGGCTGTGGTGCGGTCTCTGTCGCCACCGCCGTGGCGGGCGAAACCAGCGATTGCAAATAGTTTGCAACATCTCCAAACTCTTCTTGTAGATGGTCAATAGGCTGAAAGAACTCAGTAACAGGTTCGATGCGGGAAGAGGAGCACGTACTGACACGCCCTCCTTATTTTGGCGATCCACCTGTGCTCCCTTCTCTACGAGGAAGCGTGCAGTTGCGACATCTTCCACGGTGTATAATGGGGTGTCTCCATCATCATCGGTTACGTTGACATCGCCACCTGAGAAGTTCTGAACTCCGTGATATCGTTAGAGATGCAGGGATCATCGTACCTTTTGAGATGAGATATTCAAGTACATTGAGGTGACCATAAGACGCTGCGGCGTGCCTATCACTCCATGAAGCGCGATCCTCGTCAAGAACAAGACTGCATACATAGGAGTGTATGTAAATTCATCAGGAATGTCGGGAGACAAGGCTAACGCGAAGAACGATTAGGTCAATCCTGGCTAATCGACTGTAACGGGGACTTGCATTCTTGCTCGATGAGATACTGCGTCGTAGTCGAATTGATGACGTTTATAGCAGAAATAGGCCGATAGACTCACGCGAACGCGGTCGAGATCGCCGTCCCCAGCAGCGACCCAAATGTTCTTGAGAGGTGCCATGAGTCCCAGAGTCGCAAGAGAATAAGTTGTGTGGCTATGTTTACGTAGGGGATCATGCGCCGCCAATTCATTGGAACGCTGTGACTACATTGGGCTCGATCTCGTTTTTGCCGACGATCGTGCAAGTGTCGAAATGTTGAGGGCAGTCAGGCTGTGCGAATCATAAGATGAACTTGTCCTGAGCGCCCACAAGAGCGCGATAGCATTTCAAGAAAGCGCCAGAAACGCGGTCAATGACGGCTATTGTTTTGGAAAGTGAGACCCCTGATTACACCGCTTGGATTCCACCCTCATCTGAGACGGTGGTCTTACCCGTACTACTCTCTTAATTCCTTGATGGCACATACGGATTCTTCCTCCTCGTCATTCTACGCGGGTCATCCCACCGCTCAAGATTCGTCTCTTTCACCCGGTGTACCAACGCGCTGCTGTGAGTAGCATTTCTTTCGTGCCATCCTCTCCAGGCCCCGTCTCCGTTCCGTTGTGCATGAGGGGCATGAAATATTTCCCTCTAATTGGAACATTCATACTCTCACTCTGCGTCCGATACACGTTCCCCGCACTTGGGAACTCCGTATATCCAACCGACGATCGCTTGTCGATCAGGATCGCGAACGTAAATCAGCTTGTGCTGACTTGCTCTCTAGATTGGTCTCTTCTCTCCCCCAACCTGGACTTTATATATCTCGACCCCATCCTCGCCCAGCATCTCGGCCAACAAGCTCAGGAGCTTCTAGGCAAGTCCTTGGTAACTTTCGTTCATCCGGACGAGCAGTCCTCTGCACATCAAGACCTCGGCAATGTTCTCGAGAGTCGAACTTTACATGGAAGTGTTACTCGGCAAGTCAACGTTGTTCCCGTCTCACTTGGTATCGTCCTGATTATCTCCTATCCGCTCAGCGTTCGCTATTCGCGTCTGTCCCGCATACGACGAGAACTAGGATACCAGGGTCCTGTGTCGTCATGGAGCAACGCAGATAAAATAGCATTGGACGACAACTATATCGCTGTGGATATCGTCATCAATTGGGCCGCGGAGGGCGTCGTCCTCTGCTTTATCCACGCGGTTGTCGACCTCACGCCCAAAGACAACGACGAGAGTCAAAAGACCGATTGGTCAAACTGGTGTGGTACTGATGTTCTCAGCGAAGAGCAGACCGACATCCTATTCCGCCGTCTGATTGTCTGCGCTCCTCAGCTGAACAAAATGAACCGCGTCTTCCAAATCCTTTCCAACGAACCGAATCGCTCGCTCTTAATCAGCTGGCCGCCGGATCAACAGCAGGGCCCTCACGGCACTGACTTTGCCAGACTCGTTGAAGACGTGAATATCGGCCCGGGTGCTACATCCGGCAACGAGGCAAAGACGAGTTGCACCCGCAGGTTCAAAGCATTGCAAACCTTGCCTGCAGTCGCGGGTGAGGTCGAAAGCATATTCATTCCTCATGGTGTGTCAGACTCCAAAGTTTAGGGGTTTGGCTGACTTGTATTTCTAGGTTCCGTCATATTTGCCTGCCACAAAGTGAATCCCCCTTCTCGCAGCACCGCCACGTCCTCCGCCAACATGCAGATTGCCTACAACAACACAAGCTTCCCCGCCCAAAGCCCTTATTACGAGCACCACCAGGGCCCGTCATACGGTCTGCCACAAGGTTCCGCTTCCTACAACTATCTCGCCCCGCCTCCGTCCTCACAGCCAGAGCCGACCCCTTATTCGCAAGCCTACGGCGGCAGCCAATGGGCATCATCCTCGACGAGCAATAGGACTTATCCTCACGGGCAGACGTGGCCTTCACAAGCTCCGTTTCTCGACAACCCATCGAGTGGATCTCCGTTCCATCGGTCGATATCTCCCGGATATGCATATAGTGGCAATCCACCTGAGGAAACAGGCAGCGAGGGCGTTCCCGCTCCTAAACGTCGGGTGAGTCCGGGATCTGGTCGGGATTCAACGGGATCTGGTCGAAGTGGCGGAACACGGCCTGTAGGGGTGGTCAAGTGTGCCAGCTGCAAGGCGACGACGAGTCCTGAATGGAGAAAAGGGCCGAGTGGAAAGAAGGAGCTCTGCAATGCGTGAGTGATTTTCACTTGCTCGGTGCTGCCCTAACTGTGACGTAGATGTGGACTCCGATATGCTCGGTCTAGGGCCAAAAAGGAAGGCAATCAGGCCCAGCGCAAACGAAAGGAGAAAGGGGCGCCGATAAAGAAAGATTCTCCAGCACCAACGAACTCATCGACACCTGCCTATTCTGCTATAAGACATATGTACGACGAAGGATTCGAGGACAGCACATCCTCGCCGTCTCCCCCAGCTGCGGGGATGAACTTCGTCCATTATTCTCCTAACGACGTGCGAGGGCGGTACCAGACCGGCCCCAGCGCGATTTACTCCGTTCCTTCGCCATTGGCAACGAACTCACCCGTCCAATCTTCCAGCAACCCATCCTATTCGGGCCGCGTTTCTCCTGCAACCCACTCCCCACTCTCGACGGCTCCATCTTTCGAGCGCGACCGCGACCGCGAGCTCGCTGTCCCTCCCGCTGGTCGTCGCACCATCCTGACCCAGCAATAGTCCCGAAGGTGGACAGTCTCTGAACTTTTTCGGTCACGTCTCGAACTGTTATTCAACTTCCAAGTAAAATATTTCTTCGCGCACTCGTCCATAATAACGGCCATCGGTGGGATTACCTGCTAGGGTCGTTCAGTTATATGTATTCACTTCCTTTACTTCGTAAATGCCGTATAGCAGGATAAATAACTCGCCTATTGTAATATACTGTATCGCCGACTACTTATTACATGCATGAAGCACACGGGCGTAGACGCGGACGCGTCTTGCTGAGTCAGGAGCGCGTGCCATCATCATCCGCGTCAATCATTGGAATTCGAGTCAGTCTTTGCTATCATGTCTGCCCCCACAACGCCCCCGCCGCTGCCGCCCTCCACGCTGTACGATATAATTTGAGATATCGTTCATCCGGGGCTTAATCCATTGGACAGAACTGCACGCGTTGTGCTCCCCACGGATTCCGGAGAAGAAGATACCCCAGCTGAAGAGTACGAAGAGCGCGACTTCCTCGAGGACTTTCCAGATGAAACGGAGGTAAACCTCTTTGTGTTATCCTTACGACGCGATCGACGCTCGTCCTCTAGGAACTAGAGCTTGTCCATTTGAAGATCGGACCACTAGCGCCACTGCGACTGCCGCGATTCGCGACACACCTCAAGAAACTATGTCTCCGGCAGAACTTCATCTCTGCTCTCGAGCCCGAAGTGTTTGACCCGCTGATCAAGCTGGAGGAGCTCGATTTATACGACAATAAGCTCAAGCACGTCGACGATGCGCTGAACAAGCTGGAGAGTCTCAAGTACGTCATTACTCCCATCTGGATCAGCGCTCGGTCGCTGACATGCGTGCAGAGTGCTTGATCTCTCGTTCAACTTGATCAAAACTGTCCCAGATGCACTGCTCCGTCTACCCGCGCTGGACACGGTGTTCTTCGTTCAGAACCGCATCTCGAGCATCTCAAACTTGGATAAAGCGACTCGTCTGCGCAGCTTGGAACTCGGCGGAAACAAGATCCGGGTCAGATCCAAGTCAGACGCCCAGCTACCTTCGTCTGATCGTTTCCGCAGACGATCGAAAATCTAGACGCTTTGGTTAATCTCGAAGAACTCTGGCTGGGGAAGAACAAGATTACGAAGCTCGAGGTAACAGCGTTCTCTCCAATGTGTTCTCCGCTTTAGTGATCTCCCATTAGAATCTCGGGAAACTCAAAAAGCTGAAGATTTTGTCGTTACAATCTAACCGAATCACGAAACTGGAAGGACTAGAAGAGCTGGAAGGGCTAGAAGAGCTGTACCTGAGCCATAACGGGGTTGAGCGGATGGAAGGATTGAAAGCGAATGTATGGGGAAACTGCTCCGAGCCGCCCCAGCTTCCCGCTCATCGTTATCTCAGGTCAATCTGACGACGCTCGATCTGGGGAACAACTTCGTTCCAGAGATTGAAAATATATCCCATCTGACGAAATTGCAGGAGCTCTGGGTTCGTTGTCACCTTTGTTATCCATCTTACTGCTTCTGAACTCTGCAGTTGACGGGCAACCAAATCCCAAATCTCCAAGCGCTAGATGGACAGCTGAAGCACATCGACACGCTGGAAACGATCTACTTGGAGGCCAACCCGTGTCAAAGTAGCGACCCCTCCAACTACCGGAGGAAAATCATTCTTGCTTTACCTCAGTTGAAGCAGATCGATGCAACGTGAGTGCCAGCATCCATCCTTCAATGGTTCTCTCGGTGCTGATCTGGCGTGTTAGTTATGTCCGGGTGTAATGCATGCATGTACAGTATATATCTATTAGGGCCGCAATCTGGCTGGGTAAATAATACAGGGATGCTCATTGCAAGTAAATGTTCCAGCTCTGTGCACTGGCCTGAGTAAACTGGGAGGTAATAGACAACGAATAGGCTCACGTTCCGCCATAATAGTCCCTTGTGGTCCAAGATCGGCCCGTCGATTCCGAACGCTATGCCCTTGAACCACCAGAATGCAGCAATGACCGCAGCCGAGCAGATCGAAAATATCGCTGTTTTTGTGGCCAGAGCCAGTCGAGTGGAAGAAAAGATGAAGTGATCGAGCATGTGACCGAACATAAGCACCGCAAAGTAGAGCGTAGGCAACTGGCCGATACGTCAATTTTGGGCCAGACAACGGCGCAGAGTCACTTACATAGTGGTGCAGATATGTCACTCGACCCATGACCAGGAATGGGACTGGACGGATCATTCAGCAAACAACCACGGAGTAGTCTAAGAAACTCACGGTAGTGCAAACCCCATCCAAAGAAGGCGATCTTTCCGACGTACAGGAAATGATCCCACTCCGCTGCCATCGAGTCAGAGCACCGTCGTGTGTGTGTAAAACCCGGACACACCGTCGGTCAGAACCACCTGCTTCCGCTGGGTTCTCATCAAATACACAGCCAAGGTGACCCCCGCGACAATCAAACTAGTCGAGCTTCCCCACCAGACAATGGGATTCCCGAGGAGATAGAACTTGGTTTGCTTGGGTTCCCATCCACACA